ATGACAGAAATGCTTTCTTAAAGAGTCATCAGGAGGCCTTTGGAGAATTGGGGGCTCAGGCAAGGCCCCCATTCATGTGGGGAATGCAGACAAGAGGACTGGTGCCTGCCTTTTGAGCCTCAGTTTCCCTGTCTGTGTAAGGGGTCAGGGTGCCTTTTTTGTACTGGTCTTCCAGGATTTCATAAAAGCCCCTCCCGCTCTGGGGGTCACCCCCAGCTCTGCTCCTACCCTGGGCACCACCCCTGTATCCTCACTCAGACTGTGGGATAGGGGCTGTGCGTATAGCCACTCATTTGCCATCTGGAGTCAGATCTAGTGAGCCTCAAACTTTCTGAGCCTCAGTTTCCCCCACTGTAAAAGTGGGGATAACATTCCAAGTTGCACAGGGCTCTGTGAAAGGATACAGAGAAGCCCAGGACAGAATAAATGCCGCACATGGTCACAGTGATTCTGACAACTCAAAATTGGGGGGGTGTGTGGAGTGACAGAGCCTGGGACTGGAGAATTAACCCCTCAGGCCAGCCCAGCGCCACGCCCTGCTGGGTGTTTCTTGGCCACACTTTCCTCTCTTCCTTATTCCCTGCTCCCCCTTCCTCCACCTTCCTGGGAAACTCCCTGAGAAAGTCCCCAGCAGGAGAAAGAAGTCTCACAAGGGACATTTCCATCCAGGGTCCCCGCAATCCCACAACCATAGCCACCGCACACAGAACCAGGCGTCCCGGCCCTCAGCCCCCAACCATCCATGAAGCTGACCCTCATCGTCACACTGGTTTTATTGGCCCTGAGAGCCACAGAGTAAATCCCAAGAGGGCCCTGCCTCCCCTCTCCCTCAAGTCTGTCCGGAGGCCCCGGGGGCTGGCTGACTGTTCACTACTCCAATCTTGGCTTCCTGTCCCGCTCGTTGGCTTGCCAGGCCTGGGTCCCTTGAAAGCTCCCCAGATCCTTGAGTCAGGCTCAGCCTGGAGGGTGTAGTTGGTGGGGGACCCCGCAGGGACTGCCCGAGGCCACGTTGACTTCACTCAAAGAAGAACATTCCTGGTGTCCGGTATAGGCAGGGGGTCAGCCCCAGTGGGTAGCTGGAGCCTCCCTGGACAGGGAAACTGCCTGCGACCCAAGGTTCCTTGGGGTCAGCTGGCAGGGGCAGTGGGGCCCGCAGTGAGGCTGGAGGGGTGGGTGGTGCCGGAGAGGGGGCTGCTGAGGCCAAGAGGTGCTCAAGGCCTGGATCGGTCCCCATGCAGAAATTCAGTGCCTGCAGCCGGCACTGGTAGCTGCCCCCGATGCCCGCCTCTGGGGTCAAGATGGGCGTGGGGGCCTTGCTAAAACCCTCGGCCTCAGAGAAGCCCACAGGAAAGCCAAACGCTGGGCATGGGGAAGACGAGGGGGCCACAGGGAGCTCCCCCGGGCCTGCAGGCTTAGGTGCAGGCATCTCTTTGAGCTCTGTGGGCGGCCGGGGCCCGGCATCTGGGGTTGCAGAGCACATGGTAGCTGGCAAGGCCCCTAGCAGACCCCCAAAGCTTAGGCCCTTGGGCTCTGGCAGCTCTGGTGGGAATGGGCACTGCCTGCCAGTCAAGGCATCGGGGGCTCCTGGATCCTGGCTGCCCACTCGGAGGGGTCCGCGGCGTGGCTTGGCAGGGCCCTTGGTTCCCTCGGCACCTGCTCGCCGGGTGAAGCGTCGGCGTCGGCGCAGGAAGCTGCCGTGTTCAAACATGTCGTGGCAGTCGGGGTCCAGCGTCCAGTAGCTGCCCTTGCCCGGCTTGCGGTCATCGCGGGGCACCTTGACGAAGCACTCATTGAGCGACAGGTTGTGGCGGATGCTATTCTGCCAGCCGGGCCGGTTGTGGCGGTAGAAGGCGAAGCGGCCCATGATGTAGCGGTAAATGCCACTGAGTGTGGCCCGCTGACCCGGGGAGCTCTGGATGGCCATGGCGATCAGAGCTATGTAGCTGTAGGGGGGCTTGGTCGGCTCGGCCCCGGGGGCCAAGGGCCCGGGTAGGGGCTGTTGCTGCTGCATGCTGAGCCAGGCTGGCCGGGCTGGCGGCTGCTGGGACCACGGAGGGGCCAGGCACCCGGCGTCTGGAGCTGGTGTCCGCCCGGCACAGCCTGCCCGGGGCCTGTTAAAAGGCCCACTGGCCCAGCCTCCCAGCCTGGAAAGGCAAAAAGGGGTGGGCCCACCAGGCTGCCCTCCCTTCCTCCCTTGCCCCCCCTCCCCCCAGGCCTGAGAGGGGCGGGCAGGGAGGCCAGGACTGGGAAGCTTGTGAGCCTGCTGCCTGGGGAGAGGAGATAGGAGGGAAGGGACCGAGATCCAGAGCCCCCATGTGCTGGGTGGTGGTGGCTGCGAGGGACAGGACAGGCAACTGAGCGAGACAGAGACAGAGAAACAAAAAAAGACAGAGCCCGTGAAAACCAGAGAGAAAGACACAGAGAGGGAGAGACATAACAAGACAAACTGTGAAGGCAGAGACATACTGAGAGACGAAGCCGAGGCAGAAAGAACAGAGACATACCGAGCCAGACACGCACACACAGCACAGAGAAAGAATCACGGAGAGAAATCCGTGTATGGAGAGAGAGTGAGAGAGGAAGATGCAGAGAGAGACACAGAACAGACACAAGAGATCGAGGGCAGACAGACAGAGAGACGGCACGCTGAGGAGAGAGACTAGACAGGTAGATTCAAAGGGGTGAGCTGGAGAATGGGGCCCCCCCAGTGGGAAAAGCCCCAGGGGTCCTCAAGCCCCCACCTCCAGCTCCCCTTTTCTCCTCTCTTTCTTTCAGGCCTGGGGGTCTACTTTCTACTCCCAGCAGGGTGCAGCACCCGGGGTCTCACAATTCTTACCCTCTTAGCTCCGGGGCATTTGACGGCCCGCCGCTGGAAGGCGGTGAGAACCGTCAAACTGTTTATGGTGAGCATCAGCGCCCTCTAGTGACTGGTGTGGGAAGGACATCCATCTGGGCAGAGCCATTCCCCCACTACTCCCCCAGATGTTTGAAGCAAGTCCCTGACTTTGGCTGAGCCTCAGTTTCCCACTTCTAAACTGGAGCTGGCGACCCTTCAGCTGTCCATACTGTGGTGAGGAGGCCACAGATCCCCTTACACAGCATCCAGCACCCTCCAAGAGTTTAGCGCAGAGTAAGGGTTTGGACATGACTCAGGATTATCACTCTGAACTGAGGCTCCCCATCAGCCGCAGCCTTGGGCCAGCGAAGCCTAGGACAGTCAGGTCTTCTGGAGGCGGGGGTAGCCTACTCCATGTTCTCCCACCCATACGTTCCCAAGACAGAGGACACCTACTGTGTGCCACTCTCCATGTCAGCCGCCCGACAACTAGCCTTCTCTGTCTGCATTGACTCCTTGGAGCAACCCTGCTCTGCAGGCCTTCATGGCTTCTTCTTCTTCTTCTTCTTTTTTTTTTTTTTAAGATTTTATTTATTTGACAGACAGATCACAAGTAGGCAGAGAGGCAGGTAGAGAGAGGAGGAAGCAGGCTCCCTGCTGAGCAGAGAGCCCGATGTGGGGCTCCATCCCACGACCCTGGGACCATGACCTGAGCAGAAAGGAGAGGCTTTAACCCACTGAGCCACCCAGGTGTCCCTTCATGGCTTCTTTTGAATAGATGGAGAATCTATGCCTCAGAAAGGTTAAGTGACTTGCCCGAGGTCACACAGCTAGTGAATGACAAAGCTGGGATTTGAATCCAGTATTCTCTAACTCCTTAACACCACACCTTCTACAGAAGAGAAGCAGGGATAGGGACAGTCACTGGAGCCCACTGGAACACGGGCTATGAACCCCAAGAGAGCAGGGGCCTGCTGTTTTGTCCAGCACTGGCCTGGAAACTGAGTAGGTGCTCAGTCAACATTTGCTGAATAAGAAACAGTGATCTGATTGACTTCTGCCCTTCGTCGAAGCATACAGTCCCCCCCCACCATAAAAGCATATTAATGTATCACTAGAAGAGATTCATTATGTTGCCATCTGTAGGAGAATCCCTATTTAAAAAGTCAGAAATCAGAACCAGAAACAAGGTCTGATATCTGGGGCAGGACACAGTGACTTTTCCGCCAAGGCAGGGTCAGCTGGCTTCATGGTTGAAGGGGCTCCCTCCCAATTCTCAAGGACTCCCTACAACTTGCAGTTTACAATGATCAGTGGAGCCTGGGGAGGGGCTGGACCCCTGCTTCTGCCCTTAGCTTCTGCCCTATGGCTGTGTTTGGGGGTCAGCCTCGGTTCCTCCAAACACAGTATCCACTGGTATTGGTGGTTCAGTTATCAACCCCCCAAGTCCCCAGTTCAGGCCAAATTTCTGCTTTGAGATCCCTCCCTGCCCACATAAGAACAGAGAGTAGTAGCAGGTGGGAGGAAGGGTCTGGAAACTCAGAGCCCCTCAGAAGCCAGGCATTTCTGTTACTGTCTGGCTTCACTCTAATCCCTGAGGATCTAATTATCGGTAAACCCAGCTTTAAGCAAACCTTATAATGCATCAGTTGCAGGTGAAGTGGGCTCTCAAGTATACCACCACAGACCTGCTGGGTTCTCCCTGAGCTATAAGGTTTTGTTTCTGCCCTAATTGCTGTTTCCAGAACCTCAAGGTCAAGTTTGGTTTCCTCCTGACTTCCCAGGCCCAGCTGCAAGGCCTCTGCCCACGCGCTGTGCTCCAGGGGCTGCATCTCTGCCGCTGAGAGGTTGAAGGGCGTGGATCGGCTTCCACTGTCCCCACCGACCGGCCGATGGGTAGGGGGCAGCCCCAAGACCACTGGCAATTTGGGCAAGTTTGCTGTAGAGTCCGCACCCACGGGAGGGGTGCTGACTTGGGACGATAGGAGAGGAGCAAGTGACCCTTTACTGCTGACTCAGCTGTGTCAGCAGGTGAGGGACACCGTTGGTGATGCTGGGACACCACTGTAGTGGCGCTTCCAGTGCAGGAAGAGCTCCCTGGCGAAGACTGGCTCCACCTGTGGGGGTGGGGGTAGGACAATGAGCTAACTCTCTCAGTTAGCGCCCCCTATGTTCTGGTGGGAAGTCACCAGCTGGTGACAGTCCCACCCCACAGGCACTTTATGTGCAGGGTCCTACAGACCCGAGGGTCATCGGGTCAGGAGCTGGGGACTGGACAGAGTCAGTAAGGGGCTGCTGGTGGTGACTGGAAGGTGTGGCTCTTCACTGGAGTGGGAGGTGACTCACGTGGGCCATGATGAGCCGCTCCTCCGGCTGGTCTGGCGGCCCTGGGTACTCCTCACCAAAGCACAGACGGATTTGGTACTCGGGCTCCTGGCGACCGTCCTGAAGGTGGGCGCGCAATTCTATGGGCACCAAGATTGGGGGCTTGGGAATCCTAGCTGGTGCCCACCTTGTGCTTCTATCCCATGCCCATGTCCGGTAAGGCCACATCCCCATTGTGTGCCCATGCCCTATGCCCACCTCCACATCCCTATGCCTGTCTCATGTTTCACATCTGTGTCCACTTCCAGGGTGCATCCCCTGTGCCTTGTGCTCCTGTGCTCACCCCATGCCCATTGCCATTCACCTATATCTATCGAGTGCCCAGTGCCCTAATGCCCAGCTATGCTTAGCATCCCAAGTCTTATGCCCCAAGCCTGCCCCGTGCCTACCCTCCCCATAAGTCTATGTCTATATCGTGCCCAGGTCCCCCGACGCCCGTATTCGTTCCCACTCCTGGGGCTCGTATGTCACATCCTTTGTTTCAACGTCCACCCCAAACCCAGAATCCATAAGCCCGTTCCCTGGAGCTCACATCTCGTGTGCCCCCCTTCTCTGTTCCCGTGCCTTTGCCCACGCCACTCGCGCCCAGCCACTCTGTCCCACGCTGCCAGCGGCCCCACCGTCGTGCTCTTACCCTCGAGGAAGAGTAGCGTGTCGAGCAGCTGGTGGGTGCGCTCACGCTCCAGTTTGTTGGGCTGCGCGCGGTGCGGGGCGAGCGGGCCGCGCCAGTACACGCGGCCCCGGCACAGGCGCTTGGCGAACACGCCCTCAGGGGCCACCCACAGCAGCACGCCCCGCTCCAGGTGCCGCAGCAAGCGCTCCAGCACGCCGGCGCCGGGCGGCGGCTCCGGGAGGCGCACGTGCGCCATGCGTCTTGGCGGCCCCAGCAGGCGCTCCGCTGCTGTGACCGCCCGGGGGCTCAGGCGGCAGCCCTCGGCCACGCGCGTGGTGGTTTCGCGCACCAGCTTCCCGCCGTAGAACAGCCGCACGTGCAGCCAGCAATCTGCGGGGCGGGGAGAGGGGGTGCGCCCGGGGTTGGCAGCCCCAGCACTGACCACTCCCCACCCAGGTCCTGCCTGCCCCCGCCTCGGGAGTTTTGGGTGCGTCCTCCGGATGAACGATAATTCTCGAATTCTCGTAGTAGCGCCAATGCCAGTAGTAATAGCAGCAGCTTCCGGCATAAATGAACTGGTAGCTGAGCTCCATGGTCCAAAGCATAGGGTCTGGGGCCATCTGTGGGGCCTGTCCTAACCTCTGGGATTCTAGGGGCTCCTTCCCAGCGAATATTTTTTTTTTTTTTTAAAGATTTTATCTATTTATTTGTCAGAGGGAGAGCGCCCGCACAAGCAGGCAGAATCGCAGAAAGAAGCAGGCTCCCTGCAAGGAGCCCAATGCAGGACTCCATCCCAGGACCTTAGGATCATGATCTGAGCCGAAGGCAGCAGCTTAACCAACTGAGCCACCCAGGTGTCCCTGCTTCCCAGCAAATATTTTAATGCCAATGGAAACAACAACAACAGCACAGTACAATCCATGTGAGGGGCAAGCAGGATACTCAGCAGTTAGAGCTGGGGGCTCTGCAGCCAGGCCCTTGGAGACTGATGTCTCTGCCAATTAGGAGCTGTGACCCACTAGTAACTTCCCCAGGGCTACCCACTGTGTGATGTGGGGCCAGGTTCTTAACCTCTGTGCCAGGTTTCTGTTAGTACGAAGTGGGGATGATGGCAGTATCTATCTCACAGGGCAGCTGGGAGAGCTTCGAAAGATGCCTGACGTAATCTAAGTCCTCAATGAATGTTAGCTGTTGTTATCGGGGCTGGGTACTTTCGGGGAAAGACACAGGGTAGCAGGCCCTGACCTCTGGCTCTCCCCAGTTCTGCACACTGGTCAGAGAGGAGGGCCTTGAGATATCTTACCAGGGTTGCTGAAGTCCTCAGAGAGCAAGGGGCTCCAGTGGTGTGTAGGGTCCTGTGCCTGGTACCCTGGGGAAGGAGGGGAAGCTGTCAGGCACCTCACCCTGGGTCTCTCGATCCCCAGGTCAAGGTCCTGCAGGAGGACAGAGAGGAGGCAGGATTGGTTGAGGAGATCCGGTCCTTACTGTGGTCAGCCAGAGGGGCTGGGAGCTGAGCTGCTGGTGGCAGGGAGCCCTGCTGGGTCTGCGTGGGGGCTTGCTTGGTGTCCTTATCCTCTGTGGTTGATCTGGAATCATCCTGGCCATTGGAAGAGAGGGTTATGAGGGTGGGAGAGGAGACTGTGGGCCACAGGGGTTCCCAGACTGTCCTCGCTAGGGCAGAGGGAAGTCTGGGCAGAATGCAGGCCAGTTGGGATCGATAGAGACTTTGAGGTTTCAGAGCTCAAGACCCTGTCCCTCATAGAGGTAAAGGGTTGATGGAGTTGTTGGAGGTTATGGGGTCGGAGATGAAGCTCACTGTGCTGGGGGAGAAGCGCTAAGGAGCAAATGAGCAGATGGTGGGACAGAGGAGATAGAGGTGGGGGGATAGAGCAGATAGAGATGGGGGTCAGAGGAGATAGAGATGGGGAACAGAGGTGATAGAGATGGGGAACAGAGGTGATAGAATGGTGACAGAAGTGATAGAGATGATAGACATGGGACAGAGGTGATAGAGGTGGGGGGGATAGAAGTGACAGAGATGGGAGACATTATATGGAATGCATGGTGAAGAAGACACTAGGGACAGTGGATTGGACCAGGCTGGTGGGGGAGTGGGGACACAGCAATGAAGCACAGATGGTAGGGGGGTTGGTGATAATGGGGGTGATCCAGACAGAGTGATGGGGTGATCGCAACAGCAAGAGGGCTGGAAGGGTTGAAGGGGAGGGAAATGTAGAGCCAGAACTGCATCTGATGGGGACAGAGTGGTGGACCCGATGATGACAGGGACCAGGGGTGAATGTCAGGGAAGAGATTGCAGAGGGTGATGGAGCTGAAGACGGTGGAGGAGGAGAGAACAGGGGGACCCAGAGATGACGGAGGCAAAGGGAACAGGAGGCGGAGCTGAAGATGGCGGGGCAGGTGGGGCCCAGGTAAGAATAGGTGGAGCTGGCGGGAGGGACATGGGCGGAGGAGAGGGCAGGCAGGGAAGGAGCACAGCTGGGGGAGAGGACAGGCCAGATGGCAGTGCCAGAGAACACTGAGGGCAGGTCACGGGATAGGTGACAGAGCTGGCAAGACTGTGGGGGGCTTGAAGGACAACTGACCTGGTCTGTCCCGCAGGCCAGCTCTGTCACTTCTCCAGGGGGCTCCTGCTGCTTCCGTGGAATGTTCTTTTCAGGGGGAGCACAAGCTCTGGCACCTGGATGGAGCAAGAGGCAGGCTGTTGTTTCCTGAGCCTTAATGGGAGCCCCCCAACAGAGGTGATCCCACATGAGGACCACAGCATGATCTCAGGCAGGGCCCACCTCTCTCCGGGCCTCAGTTTCCTCTTTTTCTAATGGGAAGATAAACCGAATGTCTACAGGTCCTTCTGTGTTTACCAGGCCATGAGTTTAAGCTTACTAAGCCCCCCATTACAGTGGGCAACGTGAGGTCCTTATTGCCCAGAGAGCTATCCTCAGCCACTACCGCCAAGGGCAGGATGGTACCTGGGCCATGGGCACCGGGGGCCACGATCCTGTAGACCTTGTAGGGGCTGGAACTGTCCCGCTGGCTGCACTCACGCACCTCACAGAAGTCAGCACTCTTGTTGAGGGCACAGCGGAGTCGAGTCTTCCAGGTGGTGGGGTCCTCCTTGTCGATGCCCTCTAGGTGTTTGCCCTTGTGTATGGCCCAGGCCTGGGGATGAGCAGGGGCACTTGGGGAGGGGTAACCTGGGAGAGGGGGCTGGTGCCATGCAGAGGAAGGGGGGTCCTACCTTGCCTCTCACTCTTCTCTCCCTCCCTCCAGGCCTCTGACCCTCTGCCCCTTCATCCTTTTCTCTGTTCTTCCTTCCTTCCATCCAACCATATTCCTCGAGCTCCTACGGTGTGCCAGGTTCCAGGCAGGGGCAGGGGACCAAATGGGGAACAAGACAGACATGGTCCCTGCTCTCCTGAAACTCAAGTCTAATGAGAGAAAACAGCTGGAAACAGCTAACTGGAAATAATTATATTTCAAGTTGTGAATTATGATCAATTTTTTAAAAATAGGACGATGGGGGGCACCTGGGTGGCTCAGTGGGTTAAAGCCTCTGCCTTCAGCTCAGGTCATGATCCCAGGGTCCTGGGATCCAGCCCCGCATCCAGCTCTCTGCTCAGCAGGGAGCCTGCTTCCTCTCTTCTCTCTGCCTGCCTCTCTGCCTACTTGTGATCTCTGACTGTCAAGTAAATAAATAAAATCTTTAAAAAAAATAAATTTTTAAAAAAATTTTAAAAAATTAAAAAAATAGGATGATGGGATGTAAAATAATGGCATGATTTGCTATCTGGAGAAATATAAAATTCAATCCTGACCTATTGCTCCATACAAAGTGGACTCCATATGATTTCAAAGCCAAAGGTGAGAGATGAAAGTGGAAGCTAATGGGAGATAAGGAGGGGAAATACCTCTAGGGGGACAGAATGCCTTCCTGACCCCCCCCAAAGACAAGGCAAAATAATGTCAATGTCTGAAATCAGCAAGGGGATAATTTTAGAACATACAAGGAACTTTGCAAACCAACAGGAAACAGAGAGCATCCCCTAAAGAAAAAATTCTTATCGGGGTGCCTGGGGATCCCAGGATCCTGGGATCGAGCCCCGCATCGGGTTCCCTGTTCAGCTGGGGAGCCTGCTTCTCCCTTGCCCTCTGCCTGCTGCTCCCCCCTTCTTGTGCTCTCTCTCTCTGTCAAGTAAATAAATAAAATCTTTAAAAAAAATTCTTATCAAAGGGCAAGAACAGGTGGTTTATGCAGGAGGAAGCCAGAAGGCCACAAACATATGAGGATGTACTTAAACTCATTAGTGTCAGAATAAAAACGTGAGCTATTGGGACGCTTGGGTGGCTTGGTCAGTTAGGTGTCTGACTCTTGATCTCAGCTCAGGTCTTGATCTCAGGGTTGTGAATTCAAACCCCATGTATGGAACCTACTTAGATTTAAAAAGAAAAAGTGAGCTATCACCTTTAAGCCAACAAAATATTTTGTGAGTTGGATAATGCTGGGAGGTGGTGGGGTGTGGCCACTGTTGGTGGGCATGGGATGATACAGACATTTTGGATGGTAATCAGGCATGTCTTGTCAAAATAAGTCTAAATATACCCTGTGAGCAGAAGTTCCAATTCCAAAGGAATTCTCACGAAGGCTCATGGGGGAGGGGGCAAGATATTCACTCTAACATTGCTTTTGGTGCTGGAGAGCAAACCTGTGTCCATCCCTATGAAAGTGGATAGGGATGTGTGTGTGTCATGGATGCCCACTGCAGAGTCTATGCAGCATCTAGAAGCATCCAGGAGCAACAGATTAGATGTTATAGAGAACACTCCCAGCGGGATGCCTGGGTGGCTCAGTCAGTTGAGCCTCTGTCTTCGGCTCAGGGTCCTGGGATCGAGTCCTGCTTTGGGCTCCTTGCTCAGCAGGGAGTCTGCTTCTCCTTCTCTGCATTCTGCATTCTCTCCTTCCTCTGAACAGCACTCCGTCCTAAGGGACAGGCCATGTAACCCCCTGTTCAACACTCACTGAGTGTCTTCTGTGGGCCTTGCCCTGAGCTCAGGGTCATGACCCTCGACATTTGGGTAGCTGGAGGCAGTGTGTTGTGGGGGAAGTTGTTCCAATGGAGGAAACAAGGAATCAGGGATGGCCTAGGAAAAGCACCAAGTTGGAGCTTAATAAATGCATTCGACCAATGAATGTATTAGGGAAGGCTCCCGAGGAGACATTTCAGCTGAGCATGATGGCAGTTGGCCAGGTCAAGGTGAAGAGGAGCGGATATCCAGGCAGGGGGACAGCAAGTGCAAAGGTCTAACAGTGAGAGAGAGATGAAGCATTTAGAAACTGAAAGAACTGTCAGGCCAGGTCTAAAGCCAGGGAAGGGAAGGGTGGGGAGAGATGAGGCCAGGGAGGAGCAGTTCACGCACTGCTCTGACGTCTTGGTAAGGGGTTGGATCTTTTTCACAAGAGCAATGGGGAGCCAAAGAAGGAATCTGAGTAGGGAAGTGTCAAGACAAGATTTACATTTAGGAAGATCTCCCTGGAAGACCGAGGGGGGAAGTAAGGGGCAGGGGGAAGAGTGGCGCTCTTTGAGGTCACTGGGATTGTCCTGGTGAGAGATGGTGGGAATGGGTCCAAGCAGACGGACTGTAGAAAAGCTTCTACAGCTTGGGGACCGAGTGGAACGAGGCTGGAAGTCAGGGGAGAGGCCAGGGTTCAGGTGCCTGGCCCCTGGGGTCTGGGTGACAATCGGTGCCATCCTCCATTTGGGGACACACACAAGCTTGTCAAGGGGAGATGTTAAGTGTGGTACTGACGAGGTGCTGAGTTGGAGAGTTCTGGGGCCTTTAGAACAGCAGGCTTGGGGCCTGGAGGGGAGGCTGGGAACTGTGGGGCTCATGCGGAGGCCCTGGATGACGGAGTAAGCTATGAAGGGGGGGAGATCCTGGAGCAGTGCTGAGAGCACCCAAAGAGGAGGGGAGGAGGGGGCAAGCTGAGAAAGGGAGGGGCAGCAGGGTAGGAGGAAAATGGAGCTGGAGTGCTGGTGGGGGAAGATTCTGGAAACCAAGTGAGAGTGTTTCGAGAAGGAAGGGTCCACCAGGCCCAGACCCATCCAGGGGTCAAGGATGACAGTGATGGGATCTTTGGATTTGGCAACTAGTGATGTTAGCAGGAAGGACAGAAGCCAGACTAGGGGTGGGGGGGTCAGGAACTGGGGGCCAGGAGTGACAAAGCTGATGACCAGGCCCTTCAGCCTGTGAAAGGAGAGGGGGGGCCAGAGAAGTGGGAGCTGGAGGGGCTGGGGTGTTTGCGGGGGGGGGGGCGGGGGGGGGGGGGGGGGGGGGGGGGGGGGGGGCGCTGATGGCAGTTGGTTGCTTATTACTCAGGGGAGAGATTCCAGAATTTCAATGCTGAAGAGAAGGAGTTTGAAGTTAATGAGGACTGAGGCCGGGGAGGGCATCCCGGGAGGAGGAGATCCCTGAAAAGGGCTGGTGTGGGGAAGCACAGAACACGTTCCCAGGCTGCTGGGATGGGCACTTTTGGGATAGAGGGGAGGTTGTGGGAATCCTGTCATTGGCGTCCAGTTTCCCGGGGATGGGGAGGGAGGAGGGAGGAGAGGCCCCGGAGGTCCGGATGGTGCTCGTATATAGCACCTTTGGCTGGTTGCTCCCCGTATGTCTCCCGTATATGCACAACACGCTCCGCAACCTAGAGACCGCTGGGGCTAAGGGGCGAGCGAGTGGCCCCAGGTCACACAGCGCGCGGGTCAGCCCCGGCGTCCCGCCTCTCCCGCCCCCTTACCCTGAAGAGCGCCGCGTCCTGCTGCGCCCGGTAGCCCTGCCGGGCCGCGTGCTTCCAGGGGATGCGGAAGAGGGTCTTGTCTGCGTCCTCCCAGCACAACCCCGCGTAGCGCCCACTCTCGATCTGCGCCACCAGCCAGTCGCGGAGGCGCAGGGGACCCCCGGCCCCCGCCATCGGTCGCCTAACGTCGGGGAAGTTCCCTGCCTCCCTCCGCCAGGGGTCGCCGGCCGTCCGGAACGCAGGGCGCCGGCGGCCAGGTCTGGGGCGCGCGGCGGCTGGGACCCGGGCGCGACAGGGAATCACGAAGCCACCACCTAATGGTGCGCGGAAGCGGCGAATGCGAAAGTTCTGGATGCGCGAGTTTCGCTTTCTTTTCTGTCCCCCTGACTCGGGAGGCCCTACCCCTTCGCTCTTCTCTGTGGTAGCCTGGCCCGGAGGGTGTCGCGCCGCACAGAGGGGCCAGTTAGAGGCACGGTGGGACGCCATGACCCACTGGAGGGTACCCATTGGACTGTACAGGGAGGGTAGCCAGGGATCTGTCCGTCCCTGGAGAGGGGCCCCGGCGGTCACCCAGAGGCGTCCCTTGCGCCACCGGTGCACCTGTTCTCTGTACTTCCCAGCCTATGGTGAAGTCACTATGGCTTTTACCTGTACAATCCAGGCTCTTTTCAGCGCCTGGACTGTACAGGTAAAAGCCATAGTGCTTCTTAGACTAACTCCCATCAGAATTGGGAGGCAGAGACTAGTTTAAAATGTACACTCTTCGCTTCCATACCAGACCTGCAGAAAAAAAAGACTTTCTGGGCAAGAAACCAGTAATCTGTATTTAACCAGTTCTCCCATGGGATTCTGATCCAGGTGGTCCATGAGCTACACTTGGAGAAATACTTCCTTAAATACTGAGAGTCCTCATCCACTGATGGCTCACTAGGGTGTGGGCCTGGCCAAACCCTTTCCTACAGGGTCTCAGTGGGTTCTCACCACAACATGTGAGAAGAGTCTACCCATTTTATTAGTAAGAAGAATAAGGCTCAGAGAGGTTAAAGCCCTGTAACAAGGTCGTAGAGCTAGTACTCGGAGGCAGTCAGGACCTGAACCTGTGTCTCTCTGTCCCCAAAGCTCAGGACACTACACAGTGCCCCCCACTATCTCCCAACAGCTTACACCTGGGGTTTAGGGACACCCACTCCCCACAGAAAGTATATACAATTTTTTTTTCGTGTATATACATTTTTCTAGGGTTTGCATCTTTCATTTAACTGTCAAAGGGAGTTTGCAGTTTGAAAGAGGTTAAGAAGCTCAGGCTGCTCTACCCTTTGTTGTGTACATGGGGAAACTAAAACTCCGAATGAGCACAGAGCTGGATGCCTGGGCAGTGTTGACCAGAGGCTGGAAGTACTACCCTCCTTGTGCACATGTCGGGGACATCTTCTTCATGCTCTCCACCCTCTGTTCTCCCAACCCAGCAGCCACTCAGTTCTGACCCCCTACAGTTACAGACACAATTCAGACCCACTTGTAGGGCTCAGGGGCGGGGGCTGGGGTGAGGTGGGGGGAGCAAAGCATTTCATAGGATCAATTCCAAGTGTAATAATTATATCAAAGTGGGAATCTTAAATGTGTCAGACAATCTTTTCATTTTTTGGGTGGCAGAGTCATAGTGATTAGGAGGATGGGGTTCCCTTGACTTTCCAGCCAGACTGCCTGGATTAGAATCCCAGCCCCACCACTTGCCAGCTGGTGACCTCGGACATCAACCTCAGTTTCCTGAGAAGGAGGCTGGGCAGCAGATGAGGATTATTTCGTCCATCCTCTCACCCCTATACTGGCATCTGGGCTTCCTCCACAGCCCTGAACAGGGTGCTTGGTGCATAACAGGGACCCCAGCCAGGTGGCTATTAGATTGGAGTTTTTTCAGACCCCTCTCAACTCCAAGTTACTTTTAGTTCAGAAAACTCAGCTCGGATGACCTCTGTTCAACTCGAGTCCATTTGCTGCTTGCTGGGGTTGCCCCGAGGCCTTCCTTCCCTTCTCAATGGCTGCCCCCTGGCCTTGAAGCTCTAGGTGGGAAGGGTCTTGAGTGGGAGAAGGTATTTGTAAATGAAACATCCAATAAGGAGTTAATATGCAAAATATATAAAGAACTTTATATAAGTCACCACCAAAGGGCCTGTAATAATCCGATTAAACGGTCACCAAGGAACTACTTCTTAACAGCCACCATGGGACACAGACAGCCTAGGGTCAAATCCAGCCTCCCCTACTCCAGCTGTCCTCAGGCAAGCTGCCTACCCTTTCTGAGCCTCAGTTTCCTCGAGAGATGAAGGGAATTCATGCATTTAAAAAGTCAGGCATGAAGGAGGCACTATTTGGACAGCTTACTAGCTAGTATTTCTGAGTAGAGAAGAGGAGGGAGCTGGTGACATGGAGAAGAGCTTAGAGGGCAAAAAGGCTCAGAGAGAAGGAGGGATTCAGGGGCCTTTTCAGGAGACCAGGGCTTCAGGGAGAGATTGGATGGGGTGGTCAGGCAGTGAACCCCAGTCCAGGAATTCAGCCCTGCCCAGAGCGATTTTGAGGAGGTGGCGGACTCCTCCAGACCCTTGGGGATGCCAGCCCCCTCCCATCCCTGTGTCCTGCAAGCTCCAGCCCCATGCAGAGTCCTGCATCCCTGCCCCTTGCTGAATGACTAGGAGGAGCTCAGACAGACAGCTTCTGTGTCTCTTTAATATCCTCCAGGCCCATCCAACCCCCCCACCCCCACCCACTCCCACTCCCGCTGCCTTTAAGGGTGGAGGCCCGGGTGCCCCCTCCCCCCAGCCCAAGGACTAAGGCACCAAGTGGCTGCAGCAGGCCGGCTTAGACACAGAGACGCACGGATGGAGGACACACAGACTGCAGACGCAGACAAGCAGGGTGGGCATCAGGGGCAGGGGCAGGGCTCGGGGCGCCGCGGGGTTCCCACAGGCTCTGGGCCCGTCCAGGAGGCCGAGGGAGGCCCAGACAGCCCCGAAAGGGACCGGTCGTTAGGAAGAGGGGCGCCACGGCGGGCCGGGATCCTCACTTGCCGCCTTTCCGGTACAGACACCGCGGGAGGCAAGAGAAAGTCTGCTTGACGCGCGCCAGCAAGGGCAGCGGCCGGTGGGCCTCCCGGGGCGGCCGCGGCACCAGGCGCTGCAGGGTTCCCTCGGAGGCAGCCGAGTGCGGCGCGGGGGCCGCGGGCGCCGGCGCAGGGCCCTGGCGGCAGCGCGCGCACAGCGGCAGCAGCGCGCGCACCTCCTCCTCGTCGCGGAAAGGGCTCTCTCCGAAGCGCTCCTCCAGCTGCCGGCGGAGCTGGGGGGTGGGGGGGAGGAGGAGGGGGCCAGGGGTCGGTCGGTGCCGGGCTGCCGGCCGGTCCCCTCCCGGGTCCTCGTCGCTTCCGCGGGTCCGCGAGCTCCCCACCCCTCGCTAGGCCCCTCCCCTTCCTGAGCATCCTCTCCCCTTCTCTTCTGAGTTTCCCTCGCCCGCATCGAGCCCCCTCCTCCTCTAAGTCCCTTCCCTCTCCTGGACCACACTTCGCCTTGGACACTCCATCTCCCAGACCTGCTAAAGCGACGCCCGCCCCCAGCCCAGTGGGGACCACCTGAGTCCTCCTCCCTGAGCAGCAACCCCCTCCACACTGGCCTCTTGGCTATCCGCCCAGTGGGTATAAAAGAAGGAGAGGTTTTGGCCTTATCAGGGACCCAGGGGTGGAGTAAGGGAATGACTCCCCAAAGGGGTCAAACATTCAAATGCCTCCAGGTTCCAGGCAGATAGAGAAGGCAGTGCTGGGACGTGGTCAAACTGAAGGGTCCATAGTCTAGCCCAAAGGCATCCAAATATTAAACTAAAAAGGAAAAGAAAACATCTGGCTGACCAAACAAAATACACCTAGAGGCTAGATTAGCTCAGGGGTCGCGAGTTCGAGACCCCAGAAAATCTCCTGTCAGGTCTGAAGCACAGGCTAACTTCTTTCCCATCAGTGCTCCATTCAAGCGGGAAGCAGTCTCCCAGCCCTGCCCAGCTCCTGCCTCTGCCCCAGCCCCTACCTTACGGGAACTGCCCCAGCCAAACTCTTCGAGCTGCTGCCTAAAGCCTGGGTTGGGGTTGGCGATAGGCCGGGTGGCCTTGATGGCTTCAAGCACGTCCCGCCAGCCTAGCCCCGTCACAGTCATCACATAGGCCGTCACGATGGTGGTGCTGCGGGAGATGCCTGCAAAGCTGGGATACCCACCCCCCACCCCCAGGCTTCAGGTAAGGCCCAATCTCCTCCATGCCCTGCTCCCAGACACCCCCTCCCCACCTCAGCTCTCCCACCTGCTCTCATTCTTGCCCTTGCCTCTGAGCTCCCATCCCAAAGAGCCTGCCAGGACCTGTTTTCCCACTTCCTTTGCCCATGCTGTTCCTTCTGCCTGGAGTATCCCCCGGGCACTCTCCCACATCAGAGGCCTGAGTGGGAAAATCACTTCATTCATTCATTCAGCAAACGTTTCCTGACCATCTGTTATTTGTCAGGTACTGTGGATATGGTGGGGAATAAAACAAACATGGTCTGTCCCAGGGCTTTCAGGAGGGTTGGGAGAGAAGGCCACTAACCAGGGAAACAATTTCGGGTAGGGATAACTGCTCCAATGAGGAGTCCAGGGGCTAAGGGATCGTATAGGAAAAGGTTTTAATGTAGTGGAGGGGTTGGGGAGGGATTAGGGAAGGGGTTTCCGAGGAAGTGACATCAAGCTGAGTCCTAAAAGGTGGGTAGGGGTCAGTCAAGAATGTTCTGGGCAGTGTGTGAAGCCCACGAGGTGGGAGCTGGGGGATTTGAAGGGTGGGGAGGTGGTTAGTGCAGCTGGAGTGGGACAAGCAGAGGCAAAGGGTGACAGGCTGGAGGAGCTGTTCTTAGGGCAAGGGCTCTGAGAGAGCCGCCCTGAACCTGAAGGTGCTCAGCGAGAAGTTATGGGATGAATGATATCAACTGGTGTGAGTCCCTGTCTCCCAGCCTGGGGTCCCCCACTGCTCAGCCCTCTTTCCTCAAAAGCATGGAGGGGAGGAGAGATAGCAAGAACACTCAGGATGCAGGGCCACCTGCCTGACCTCACCTACTCCCTACGGTTAGCCCATCTGGTAACAGTCTTTCCTCCATTTTACAGATGAGAAAGTGGGAGTCTCGGGGAGAAACAGCTCTTTGGCCTTGGCCACACAGCTGGTAAGGGACAGAGCCCTGATTGGAGCCCCCCTGACCAGCCTCCATCAGATGAATGGCGGACAGTCATGCGTGACAACGGGCTGGAGAAGGTCTATCCCAGGTTCCTAATTCCCCATAGTGTGAGTGCTTGGGTGTGATGGAGGACAGTCCCTTACTTGCTCCCCTCATTCCTCTCTTAACTCACCAGTGCACAAGGCAGTTCCCCCCATTGAGGCGGCAACAGTGGATGAAGTTGATACATTCTTTGAAGTGCTTTTTGCTAGAGAAGAAAGCAATAGGGTAATGAGCATTGGGGGGCAGGTATCCTAGGAGTCACCCCCCTCTGCACTGATGGGATGTCAAGAGCCCAGGGTCCTCAGGGCGGCTGGCCCAGGCAGCGAACAGGGCCTGTATGGTAGTGCAAGTGCAAGGCTGTGGGAAGCCACAATGGGGACATTTCAGGTAGTGAAAGCAGCCAATGATGAGAAATTCCATCACAGAGGCAGGAGCACCTCTCCTGTGGGTCCCCTGGATCCTCTTTTCATGGAGGCTTTATCTTGGTCTTTCAAGGACATGTGGGAGGAGACAGAGGAGTCCCACTCCTCTGGGGTCTGCAAGCAGAGCACCTGGGGACAAGGGTGGTCAGCCATGGGTTGGGAGGAGTGTCTGTCTGGGTCACTCCCAGGCTGGGAAGGCACTACAGCTCATAACACACACAAAAATCCTGCTTTCTGAGTCCCTGTTACAGACCAGGCCCTGTCCTGGATTCTCAACCTGCACCATCTGATCTCAGAGAGGGAAAGCCATTGGTGCAAGGTCACACAGCAAGAAAATGGCAAAGCCTGGCTGGAGCCCGGATGTATTAACTCCAGGGCCAGGAACTGGCTGAGCCTGACCCCTTCCAGTCTGCTGGGCGTCTGGTCCTTAGGCAGAGTACTCTCCCCATCTCACAGCTAAAGACACTGAGGTCTGGGAGGTTAAGGGTCTTGGCCTGGGGCATAGGCAAGGGCATAGCTGGGACAGAGGCAAAGAGAGGTCTGAGTGAGCACTTGTGCTAGGCTCCCCAGGACAGCTTTCTGGCATGAGTCCGCTCTGTCCTCCCCCAGACCACCCCCCACCCTCCTACCACCACCACCACCTCTCTCAGTTCCTCCAGAGAACTTACATGGGTACCTCAGGGGTGTCCGCCACAGGGATGCGAAGGTAGGTTATGTCCTGCAAGTACAAAACACACATGGGCAGTAGGGGGCCCTCGGCTGTGCTGCCGGCCTTGGCCTGGGCCACCCAAGCACCTCATGACCCCCGCCCAGATCCTGCTCCTTTCTGAGCCACTGTTGCCCTCTCTATCCAAAGAGGTTAGATATCAGCTGAGTGCCTCCTGGCTCTATCTGTCTGCGGTTCCAGAACCTTCTGAGATACCTTTTGGTATCCTAACCTCATAGGTGACTTGGGCATAAGGACTTGATAAAAAGAATTCAGGGATCTTTTATTTAATAGGTAGGAAGGGGCCACTAACAGTGACTCTCCTCCAAATGAGGATTACAAAATTACACACAAAAAAAGGGCAAAACAGGGGCACCTGGATGGCTTGGTCGGTAGAGCATGCACCTCTTGATCTCAGGGTTGTGGGTTCGAACCCCCACGTTGGACACAGAGAGATTACTTATTGAAAAAGGTGTGTTTTTTTTGTCTGTTTTAAGATTTTTATTTATTTGTCATAGAGACAGAGTGAGAGAGAGCATGTACAAGCAGGGGCAGCAGCAGGCAGAGGGAGAGGGAGAAGCAGGCTCCCTGCTGAACAAGGAGCCCCATGTGGGACTTGATCCCAGGACCCTGGGATCATGACCTGAGCTGAAGGCAGACTCTTTTTTTTTTTCTTTTGAAGTTTTCTATTTTTTATTTTCCTTTTCTTTTTTAAAGATTTTATTTATTTATTTACTTGACAGAGAGAGAGAGAGAGAGAAAGACCACACAAGCAGGGGGAGCAGCAGAGGGAGAGAGGGAGAAGCAGGCTCTCTGCTGAGCAGGGAGCCCAAAGGCAGGCTCGATCCCAGGACGCTGGGATCATGACCTGAGCTGAAGCCAGCTGCTTAACCTACTGAGCTACCCAGGCATCCCCCAAAAAGGTTTTTTAAAGGTCTTATCAAAAGTAGGGGCACCTGGGTGGCTCAGTGGGTTAAGCCTCTGCCTTCGGCTCAGGTCATGATCTCAGGGTCCTGGGATCGAGTTCCGCATCAGGCTCTCTGCTCAGTGGGGAGTCTGCTTCCTCCTCTCTCTCTCTCTCTCTGCCTGCCTCTCTGCCTACTTGTGATCTCTCTCTGTCAAATAAATAAATAAATTCTTTAAAAAAATAAATTTCATTATCTTGAGAAGAAACAAAAACCATGAAAATAAGTTTCTACCTCATTAATTGTGGCTATAAAACTGTGTGCTAATTATTAAAATAATCAAGGGATGAATTATCAGTAATTTCTCCCACAAACTGGCTATGACATCCTTTACTTGGTGCTTAACCTTCACACAAGATCATAGGATGATTTGGGCTCCTGTTCCAAGAATCACTTTTCTCAAGGACCTCTTTTAATCCTTTGATATTCAAACGACTCTTTTCCAGTGTCAGGCCTGCCACCAGCCCTGGCTAAGGGACCCCGGGCCAGGTCCTCATTTGCTAATGGCTTTGTGTGAGATTCCAGCCCTTCTCTGGCTCACTCTTCCCAAGGTCACACCATCCTGCCTCTTTTGCAAGGTTTGCAATTTCACTTTGCAACACATTTGGCCTTGGGATTGTTGGGCATTATCAAACCCTGACTGGTAAATTCACTGATAGATGGGGAGGCAGGGCTGCCCGTGGGAAGAAGGGAAGGCTGCTGGAGTAGGGACTCATCTGGCAAGGAGTCATTTCATTAGTCAATCTATTCATGACTTGACAGCCTTCCCTGTGCAATCGAGTGACTGCATACTCCAAATCCTCCAAAACAAGCCTGCCCTGTAAAACAAAATCAGGATCCACTGACCTGGAAGTTTCTTGTTTGAATGACGCTGAGAATCCCAGATTATTGAAGGTTGCTCTTAGAGACCATCAACACGGACACGTGGAGAAACTAAGGCCCAGAGAGCGGAAGGAAACTATCTGAGGTCACACAGCAAATCCGGTCTGGATTTCAGATCTCCAGAGCCTTTTTCCACCTGCAGTTATCCCCGTTTAGTGGGTGACACACACTCTAATAGATAAGGAGGAAGGGGCTCTATGTATGGGATAAGAATATGATTAACTTTGCTAGATCAGCTGTAATGTGTTGGCCTTTATGTGGAGCTCAACAACTCAGTAAGGTAGGTGCTGTTATTAAATCACCATCTTAGGGGCGTCTGGGTAATGCAGTTGGTTGAGTGTCTGACTCTTGGTTTCCGCTCAGGTCGTGATCTCGGGGTTGTGAGATTGAGCCCCACATTAGGCTCCACACTCAAGGCAGAATCTACTTGAGATTCTCTCTCCCTCTACCCTCCTGCTCGTTCCCTCTCTCTCTTTCTCAAATAAATATTTATAAAATTCCTATTTTACAAATCAGGCAACTGAGGCTCAGAATGGTAAAGTCCTGTGCCCATGATTATGAAAGTGTTCTGGATTTACTACTTTCCTTTTCTGAGTTAGAACAACCTTACTCCCCCCACCCCCAAAAAAGAACAACCTTACCCTCTCTTTTCCAGGACTCCCATAAAACCAGCACCAACCCTTCTGGTGGGGGCCATGCTTTACTGTGTGCAAAGCATCTTCACCGTCCTACAGCCCCTTTGCATCCTCACAGCAGCCCCTCTAGGGGCAGATGGGACTGAGGGATCAGAGGCCCAGACAGGTAAAGTCACAGCCCAAGATTACACAACAAGATGCAGAACACAGAACCATCCATTTGTAGTAATCAATTCAGCTGGGCAATGGAAAGCCCGTGGAGGGGCCTTTTTAAAGTTCAGGGTGAGGCCTCTGGGCTCTGACTGTCAAATCCTAGCTCCTTAGCTTCCTGGCTGTGTGACCTTAGGCAAGTTACTTTACTTCTCTGGGCCTCGGTTGCCAAATAGGGATCAAATGAGGATGCTGATGTAAAACAAGGCAGTTTTTAACAGGATGGCCAAGTATGGGTCAGGGAGGCAGTATAGGGCCTGGCACATAGTAAGTACCTGAGAAATGGGTGCTGGGGGCGCTGCTGAAGCTCCCCTCTGCACCTGTACACCACCAAAGGATAGGCGTAAGGAGTACCTGCAGCAGAGGCTGGGGTGACTCGTGGATAGAGATGATGTGTGTGATCTTGTTCCGGCCCAGCTGGTCCGGGTCTTTGGCATCTGAAAGAAATGAAATGCCTGAGCCTGTTTGATTGGTGCGACTCACATGTCCCTGATGGCCAAGAGAGGTGGGAGCTCACTGCCCAGCTCCCCTCCCCACCCCTTCCTCTCCACTTTGTCCCACCTTCTGCCAGCCCCCTGCTCCTTGGCCCCCTCCTGCTCCTGGTTTGACAGGTCCCACCGCACCCCTAGGCTTCAGTCTTGTTGCTGGGGCACCCACAAGTCGCAGCCCAGCCCCTTCCCAGCCTTGCCCCTGGAGTTCCTTCCATAGCAAACACCCTTTCCTGGCATATCCTTGATGGAACCGGGAATTCTGTCTGCAGAAAGGTTTGCTCACCCAGAAGCTGTGTGTAGAAGATGTTCTCTGCAGTACTGCTCATAACAGTAAACACACGAGAAATTGTTAAAAAGTGGGAGCAACCTACACATCCACCCTGAGAAAGCTACATAAATAATGATGTACCCATACTTGAATACTGTGCAGCCGATGGCTAGAAAAGACCTCTCTGTGCTGATGTGCGAGCATGTCCACAGTGCATTATTACACAGGAAACAGGTGACTGAACAGTGTGCAGAGTAGACTTCCATTTTTGTTTTAAATGTTACATCTGCATCCACAAAGATGTATGAAAACCGACCCAAGGCTAAACCTCACACTTGTATCAGTGGCTGTCTCTAGGGGCTGGAATTCCAGTGTATGGGGGTCTTTTAGAATCAGAATAAATAACACATATCCTCTTTCTCTCCGTAAGTCTACTTCATTCAACACATTTCCTGTGTGTTTACTATGTGCAGCCTTGGCTGGGCATGGGGGTTCATGGGCAACTTCATGGCCGCTGCCCTCATGGGGCTACAGACTTCAAGAGGGTCCAGAGTTTCCTTAGCTCAATACTCAGAAATCAAGGGGGTGTGAACAGCGGAGGTGGCTCCCAGAGAGGAGGAGATCAGATTCACAAGAGTGGGGCATCAATGCCAGGGCAGGGGGGAGGGGGGTAGGGATGGGTGGGGAAAGCTCTGTCCTGGTGCAGATGCCCCTTCCTCTCTGAAGCTTTCTCTGACTCCACGTGGAGAAGTGTGGAGTCTCAGGATCAGCCTGTCTCTTTGCACATGCCTGGGACAGGGAGAGGGCCATGGCCTTGGGATGGAATGGGCAGTGCTCACTAACAAGTTTCTGGGTACAATCCAGTCTCCGGAAACCTCCCCTCTGTGTAGAAGGTTGTAGGGGTAAGGTTCTTGGTTTCCCAGCTAGAAGCAGCACCCCGAACAGACCTCAACCCGGAACCTCAGGGCTGTAAGAGCCTGGAGAGGTGAGTGGGCCATGTGCTGGGGGAGAGGCTGGGGCTCAGAGCAGGTGCAGACTTGCCTGACATCTGACAGGTGTTTTGAGCCCTGTGCACTAGGGACACTTATCCTACATATCCCTTAGTCCTCATGAGTTCCTTCTCCCTCCCAGCCTGGCATTGCTTCCCTGCCCCCGGCCCAATTCCTGAGTGCTTCCAAGGTGCGTGGGCCACAGCATGAATGGTGGACATGGGCCTGGACAGGCAGAGTGCCACAGCCTTGGGACAGAGTGGGCAGTGCTCACCAATGAAGTTTCCGAGGTAGAGTCCAGGAAGTACCTACAGGAGAGACAGGCTGGGGTCAGTGGCGTAGGGGTGCACCACTTCCCATTACCTAGCTGGGGGCCCACAGCCCATTTCCATTCTATGACCAGTGTCTGGACCTCAGGACTCAGGCAGCAATCTCCTCCCCCTCCTGGACCTGGACTCTGTGAGAGGGGCTAGGGAGGATAGGAGGGGGGCACCAGGGGAGGCCAGCTTGGGTAGGGGTGAGAGCTTGAAGCAGGGAGGGAAGAGAAACACGCTGTGCGGTGCGGGGTGGGGGGTGAGACAGGGAGAGAGATGGACTTGCCAGGTGGGTGGTGGGGAATTCCGAGGGAGGTGGGAAGGCAGGGACAGAAGGAGGGTCATGCAGAGGCAGAGGGGAAAGGATGGAGAAACAGCACCAGAGAGAGAGTCCAAGGAATCAGAGACAAGGAAGACAGAGACACCTGGAGACAGGGAAAGGGACTCAGAGACATAGCGTGTGGGAGTGACAGAGAGCCACAAAAAGACCCAACAAGAAATACAGAGTCACAGAAACAGGCAGAGACAGAGACACAGGGAGAGCGAGGCCAGGACACCCAGAGAGACAGACGTGAGCAGAGAGACACAGGGATGCAGGGTCAGAGAGTCACCGGGAGACAGATCTAGACACACAGAGCCTCAGGGCGAGGGCCAGAAGGTCAGAGGCGGGCACAGCGACCCAGGAGGAGCCTGCGCCCCGGCGGGGCTGGGGGCGGCCAGGTGCGGACTGCGCGATCCCCGCCCCCCTACCTTGGTCATGCCATTCCCCATGATCCCGGGGGCGGGGGTCCGGGCGCACCCCCAGCTCGCCGCCCGGAGAGCGCTTGGGTCGCAGCTGCCCTGCGGGCCCAGGCCGGGCGCTTGCAGCCTGGCGGGGAACAGGGGCCCCTGCCCGGCCGCCGCCGCCGCCGCCGCCGCCGCCGCCGCCACCGCCCGCCGACCCCCGGCCAGGGAGGGAAATGGTGGTGGAGCCGCCGCCGCCGCCGCCGCCGCCGCCGCCACCGCCGCCGCCGCCGCAGGCTCCTCCTACCCCCTCGGTCATGTGGGGCCCCCCCCCACCGTGGGTCGCGGCGGGGGGCTGGACAAAGCCCCAGTGTGCCGGGCCCGGGGCCCGCGGGACAACGGCAGCTTGTTGGGCCGCGTGGGGCCGCCACCTCCGGAGGTGGGGGCGGGGACGCTCCCCCCACCTGGCACCGTCTGGCGCGGGGGGGTGGGGTGGGCGCGGGGGCGGGAAGAGCCCCCGGCCGGCCGCGCAGCCACTCGGATGCCAGCTCCGGCGCTGCCCCGGACCTCCTTGCGGGCCCTGGGGCTGAGCGCCCGGCTCCATCCGCCTGGCCGCGGTTTCCTAGCAGAAACGTGACGGGAGCCGGACTTGGATCGCTATGGGTCCCCTGTATTCAGATACTGTGTGGGTAATTCCTTCCTTCGGTACATCCTCACTCCTGCTGCCTCCCCCCCCCCCGCCCCCATGCGGACGTCCTACCAGCCAGCCGTCCTCCTCCTCCACTCATGCGGCCATCTGTCCTCCCATCCTCCAGTCCAACCATTCATCCCTACCTCCGTTCATCCATTCATCCATCCGTCCATCCATCCTCCCTCCCTCACTCCCTCCCAGCCATTCGTACCATCCGCGTTGGCGTCTATGCGGATGGCGCCATTTGGGTCAGCTCTGGGAAGACCTGGCATTAGTGCCCTCAAGGGACCTCAAGAGATCAGAGGTCAAATGTGAGGAGAGGGAGGCAAGGGGGAAGGTTCCAGACACCTGAGTCCCTTGGAATAAGGGAGACTACAACAGGATGCAGTTAGAGGCCAGAGTCCTGGACCTGAAAAGGTTCTAGGTCCCATTCACCTCTGACCTGCTGGTGACCCTGGACAGCTTCCCTTGGCTCCCAGCTGCCATGTGTGTCCCAGTATGTGGAGGTGAGCCCTTTCTGGCTGCTAGGACCCAAGCTGAAGATCATAAAATACTTGAGAAGAGGCATCTCCTATGGGTCTGAAATGGAAACAGCAGTTCCAGCTCCCGTCCTCCAGCCACCCACCACCTGGCATCTACAGTAGCAGGTGACCATGGGGGGAATGTTGGTACAGAGCAGGACGGAACGTTGACAGAACTGGTTTGAAATGCAGGGACTGGAGAGAGAGAAAACTGTCGTTGGCATTTCTTTCTTCCTCAAATTCACAGCGTCCTTGGGGCTGCCTGTCTCATCTCTCCCTGTGCATAGGATTCTCATAAAAACTACAACAAAGCTTACTGAACACCTACTGTGTGGCAGATACTAGGGACCCAAAGATGGCTAAGGCGGAGAAGGTTCCTACCTTTGTCGGCTAACAGTGTAGACCAGCCCTGCCCAAAAGAAATATAATGTGGGCCACATGTGTAATCTTAAATTTTCTAGTGGCCACATTAAAAAAGTAGAAAGAAACAGGTTGTTAATGTTTTCATTTAATCCAGTATATCCACAATATTATCATTTCAACATGCAATCAATATTGAACAATTATTGAGACATTCTACATCCTTTTTATTGTATTAAGTCTTTACAATCCAGTGCATACTTTACACTTAGAGCACATCTCAGTTCAGGCTAGCCACATGTCACATGCTTAACAGCCATATGTGGGTGGTAGCTACATATAGGACATCTGGGGTCTAGGAGGGGAGACGAACAAAAGAAGCAAATAGACAAAGTATTTACAAATGCTCACAATTTTCAGTGAGGGAAAGAGAAGGAGGCAGGAAGAACCTTTCTTAAATAAGCAACATCTGAGCTAGGACTTGATGTATAAGAAAGACCCAGATGTTTAAAGAGTAGAGAGATTTCCAGCAGAAGGAACAAGACAAGCAAAGGCCCTGTGGTGGGAAGAGTTTGCCCTTTGCAAAGAGTCAGTGGGACTGGAGAGGAGGGGTGCCAAGGGACTTGAGGATAAAGAGAAAGTGGGGAGCCCAGTGCACAGGACTGTGTATGGCCATAACTGGGAGTCTAGGTTTTCCTCCTCTGTATGATGGAAATGTGGTGGGAAAATTTAACAGGGGAGGCCGCCCTGTCATCTGGTTTACATTTTAAGCTGGTCACTTTGATGCCTATCCAGAGCGAATATATTAGAGGGGCAAAGCAGGGAGACCAGTGAGGCGGTGGTGCCCTGGGACACAGCAGGAGCAGAGAAAACTGGAAAGAAGGGGACAGACTTAATATTTTGGCAGTATAGCTGATGGGACTTGCAAATTGATTGGACGTGGGGAAAAGGGGGGAATTCTAGGACCATTCCCCATTTTCCTGCCTTGAAAACCACTGTTTGTGTCACAGAAGTGAAAGTAGGACCTCATCTATTCAACACATGTCTGTTGGGCAACAAGTTATACATGAGTCATTACACCAAAGATGTGCTGACTTGAGTTTCCCAGAATGCCCACCCCACAGATGGCGTAAAGAAATGCTGGTGGAGGGGTCTGCAGACTAGTTCCTAGTTCTGGCCCTGGCTTTAGCAGCTCTATGGCCCTGGGCAGGCGACCAAATGCCCCTGGACCAGTTTCCTCATTCATAAACGGGCAATAATTAACAGTGCCTTGGACTTGGACTTGGTTGTTGGGGGAATAAGCAAATCACATGTACAAAGGATCTCCATCACGTTAAAAGTTCTGTAAAAACACCAGCTGTAGTTATTAGGCTTAACACATTTAGTGTCTATGAACTGTTCCGCCTTCGGAAGTGTTAGCTGTTGCAAAGCTCAGTTTGCCTTAAATAAGTCAGGGAGAGATTGTTTTGCAAAACCAGGAATATGAAGATGCTAAAACACAGGTCTCACTTTGTCACTTCCTTGCTTAAAACCCTTCAACGTGGTTCATTGTGGTAGGCAACATAACGGTCTCCCCGAAGAAGTCGATGCTCTAATTCCTAGAAATTGTGAATATATTATGTTAGATGGGGGCATTAAACCTGGTGGATGGAATTAAAGTTGCTAATCAGCTGATCATGAGATGACAAGACTGTCCTGGATTATTCGCGTGGGCCCAGTGTTATCCCCCAGGTCCTTAGAAGCGAGAGAGGGAGGCAGGAGCATAGAGTTGGGGGGGGCGGGGGTAGCTGATGGTAGAAACAGAGGTCAGGAGTATTATGATTGCTGGCTTTGAAGATGGAAGGGGGTTGGGAGCTGAGGAATGCAGGTGGAAAAGCAAGGAAACAGATTCTCTCCTAAGACCTCCTAGGAACCCAGCCTTGTTGACACCTAAATCTTAGCCTAGTGAAACCCACTTCAGACGCCTCACCTCAAAAACTACAAGCTCATACCTTTGAGTTCTTTCAGGTCACTCAGTTGGTGGTAATTACAGCTGGAATAGGAACCCAATACACCCACCAACGTCCTTAGGAAAAATTCAATCTGTTCAGCATCGGACGCAAGGCCTTGTGGGATCCGGCTTCTGCCTCTCTGACTTTGAGCAAATTTCTTAACTTTCGTGAGTCTCAGTTCATCTGTAAAATGGGGAGGAAAAACCTCTATAGGTCTGTAGTGAGAGTAATGGGAGGATATGCTTCAAGTACCTAGTAGAGAGACCGGCACATGATGCGTTATCATTATTATCATTCTCATTATTATCATCGTGGAGCATTTGACAAGGAGTTAGGAGGCCATGGTTCTGCTCTCCTCACTAGTGCTCTGTTTCCACATTAGTAATAAAGGAAACAACAACAACATGGGGGTTTGGCAGCCTCATCTCTCCCCTCTTCTTCACGTTCTCCTGGCCACTGACCCGCATTTGTTTCCACAAACATGCTTCATTCTCTCTGATTCCCAATTTCGCACATACCATTCTCTCCGCCTGGAATGTTCTTCCCATTCCCGTTACCAGTCTAACTCTCATTTCTTCCTGCCAGTCCTTGCTGACCCCAATAAAAAATGGTAAGACCCCACCATTATGCATTCCCAAGGCATCCTAAACTTCTTCCTCTATGGGAGTACTGATAGTCTTCTTTTTTTTTTTTTTAAGAGTTTATCTATTTATTTGACAGACAGAGATCACAAGTAGGCAGAGAGGCAGGCACAGAGAGAGGGGAGGAAGCTGGCTCCATGCTGATCAGAGCGGGTTTGATCCCAGGACCCTGAGATCGTGACCTGAGCCAAAGGCAGAGGCTTTAACCCACTGAGCCACCAAGGTGCCCCTGATAGTCTTCTGATATCCTTTTTTTTTTTTAAAGATTTTATTTTTATTTATTTATTTGACAGAGAGATCACAAGTAGCCAGAGAGGCAGGCAGAGAGAGTGGGGGGAAGCAGGCTCCCTGCTGAGCAGAGAGCCTGATGCAGGGCCCAATCCCAGGGTCCTGGGATCATGACCTGAGCTGAAGGCAGAGGCCCAACCCACTGAGACACCGAGGTGTCCCTGATATTCTTTTTTCAAAATATTTTATTTATGTATTTATTTTTAGAGAGAGAGAGTGCAAGTGAGAAAGAGCATGAGCTGAGGGGAGGACAGGGGCAGAGGGAGAGGGAGAGGCAGAGGAAGAAGCAGCCCGCCAGCTGCTGAGCAGGGAGCCCCACAGTGTGGGGGGGCTCCATCCCAGGACCCTGGGATCATGACCTAAGCCAAAGGCAGACACTTAAATGACTGAGCCTCCTGGGCTCCCCTCTAGTCTGTATTTTTAAATTTTTAATACCAATATCCCCATAAGTATGTAGAATATACTTTTGCATGTTTATAATTAATACAAATTTCAATCTTTAAAAATATTTATCATTCTACAACTCTTTTATTTTTTAAAGATTTTATTTACTTGA